AAAAAAAAAAAAAAAAAAAAAAAAAAAAATTAAGACCGTCTGAATCGTCCAGTCTACCTGTGAGCATATGTGGGCCACACAGCTCAAGTTAGAAATAAACCATGCCAGAGATCCGAGTTACTTCTCTCCTGCTGGTCTGTGCTTTTTTTTCTGTCACTTTCTACCCTTCATACCTTCCGCAAATGTGACTGATGATGAAGCCGCGTGGAATTGAATTTTACCTACGTTACAAGGATCTTTAGATGATGAAAAACAGTAAAAAAGGCTTTCATTCTTTCTTCAGCTAGATTACTATCTATAAATCATTTAGAAAGTGCAGGCTTCCTCTGGACACTGTCTTCTTAGCTGAAGTTGGGTGACTCTGCTTTGCTAGAGGTTTCAGAAAGTGAGGACTTGGGACACCAATCTCCAACTTGTTCACCTCTGGCTCCTTGTGAAGACATGGAGACCCTGGGAGGGGAGTCACCTTACCCAGTGCCACGTGGCCAGTCAGGCCCAGGTGGGGCGGAGAACCACGACTCCTCACTGAGCCAAGTATCTCCTCCCTGAGGCCATGGAGGAGCTGGGGTGCGGTTCGAGGCAGAGGCAGGGAGTGGTATTTAATGTTGAAGTCACTGGAGCAAAATCTTTGTGGCTTTTGGGAACCAGTGTCTTCAGTTTACTGTAATTATCACGATGGCGGGGAGGGGCCTCCCGATCCTCCCTGTGGCCTGGGAAAAGCCAGGTAGCAGTGGGATTGGGCAGTTCACAGGATGAGCCGCTGATGCAGTTCTCTTCTTTCCTGACCTGTAGTTCTCTGTCAACATGCCCTCTTTCCTGCCGCTGGGGGCCATCTGGATCTTCCTGTTTTCCAGAGGTAAGATTTCTTTTTTGGTGGGTAGTAAAGGACTAGGGGTTTGGTTTGCTTCAGATCTTGTTGACATTTTGTTTGTTTGTTTGTTTGTTTTTAGCTACATTCCCAACACCTTTTAGTATTTTTAAATCTTGAGATAGGATCTTGCTAAATTGCATAGTTGTCCAGGGTGGGCTTAAACTCGCAGTCTTCCTACCTGGGCTTCCCAGAGTGCTGGGACTGTGGGCATGTCTTGCTATACCCAGCTTGACTTTAACTTTTCTTTTTGTCTTTTTTGAGACAAGATCTCCCTATGCAGTTCAGGCTGGTTTCGAGCTCACTTTGTAGCCCAGCCTGGTCCTGAACCTGCAGCGATCCTCCTGCCTCAGCCTCCTGAGTGCTGGGATTACAGGCATGTGCCCCACTCTTGGCTGATTTTAATGTTTGAAGGCCTTTTGACTCAGTGTCTTCAAAGCTACCTCCCTGCTCTTAGCCCCATCAGCCCCATCAGTTTAGACTGCCACTGCAGCCTCCAGCCTGGCCTGCCCGGCCCAGCTGGTCCTCTTCCAGCCCACTCTGCACCCAGTAGATGTTGCCAGATGCGACTCTGATGGTGCCTGAACTCCCCCCTCCACTTCTGAGTGACTTTCCTTTGCTCTTAGCTGCTGACCATCCTATCCATGGCCATCTCAGGTCCCCTCTACCCTTTGTACAGCAGCCCCTGTTCCTCCAGTCCTGCAGGCTACCCTTGCTTCTGACATGCAAAGAGAACCCCACATTGCTCTGCTGGTGTCTGTAATCGCAGGAGCTGTGCGCCCTGCTCACTGTGGTGAGGATTCCTCTTCCTGGCCACCTCCCTGACCTCCTTCCCCGCAGCCTCTGTGCCCAGGTCCCTCCATCTGCCCCCTAGCTTGGCCTGCTGCTGGGCTCTGCTGCCAGCCTTGCTTTCTCAGTGCTTCCTCAGGGTCATTGGCCCTGATTAAGCATCTTCATAAAGACCCGTGCCTCTTATTACCCACCCTGTGCAGCGTCCCCCAAGGTGACCCCTCCGTGCCTTTAGGCAGTTCCTTGTTCCTAGCGTGTTACTCCTGCCTTGGAGGTATATTTTTTATTTTTATTTATTTTGTTGGTGTTGGGGAGTCAGCCAAGGGCCTTGGACAAGCTAGGCAAATGCCTTGCCTGGAGATGTCCCCTCAACCCCAACATCTACTTTCTGAATTGTTAGTCATTGCTAATGTATCATTATTTATTGCTCATATACCATTTCTCATTTTATAAGTGTCACTGGGTATCAGCAAGAATGCAGAATGCATGCACAGACTTTGTACTTGTCTTAGAGACTCCTTGTCACTGAGACACAAAACCTTACACCCACAATTTGAAGGAAGAGAAATTCATTTTGGTTCATAGTTCAGCCCATAGTCGGCCGGCTCCGGGGCAGGACAGCAGGGCAGAGGCACAGAGGGTGACAGCTGCTCCCTTCATGGCATCCAGGAATCGGAGAGAATAAAGGGAAGTGCTGGGAAATTAGAGAGGCCCGTCCAGGCCACACTGCCACTAACCTGCCTCTTCTGGCCAAGCCCAGCCGCCTCATGTAACATTTAGCTGGAATGCCCCATACTCCAGTCACCTCTCGAAAGCCCCACTTTTGAGCACAGGAGACTTCAGAAGGGGAGACATCTGGATATGGACCGTAACACTTTGCTCTCGTTTATATTAATTGCACTGAACAGATACATCAGTGTTCACTCCGTGCCTCGCTCTATCGCTAGCATTTCTCCAGCACAGAGAAGCCTGAAAGGGTGGTCTTAATCCATGTGTCCCCTTCTCTAAAAATGCTTTGTCTTCCGCTCCATTTCCAGTTGTGATAGTTTTTCCTTTCTACGACTCTTTTTTTTTTTTTTCAAAGTTTTATTGACAAAGAGATAGCAATGAGACAGTTTCAAATCAAATCGGAAGGACAGTTTCAACAAATAATACACTGCATATATTCTTCTTAGTGGTTAATTGCTGTACAAGATGCGGACTTGTGATCCTATTTACAAACACCATTAGAACAAATCATTCTATTCCTTAAGAGAATGCAACTATATATCTATCCCAACCTCTTTGAATACACAGATACAAAATGGACATTCATCGTTATACCCCATTTTTTCTAAGTTGCGTTATTGAATATTATAGGTGTGTAAACTCAGAAAAATATTCTAAAAGAGTCCAGTAGCCTATAATAGCATTGGGTCTTATATTTAACTGGCAATGTCAGAAATTATTGACCTGAGTCCCCCACAGCTCAACTTAACAGCATGGCTTTATTTTTTATATTTCGACTTCATACTTTTCTACTGGATGGTTAAGACCAAGGTAAAGCAGGACCTATGCAACAAGAGTTGTAGCTTTTTGGTCTGAGAAGGTCAGTGAAATGCCCTCAGGATTTATCCTGAGATCCCGTACCTCAGATTGTAGAACCTTTGTCAGTGCAGCCATGTGGATGAGTCACGGCCTTTCTACGACTCTTAATCCAAAATATATGGTGAATGTTTAAGTGTTAAAGATGTATTATGATAAAAGGTAGGTTGCTGTTAATCCCCTGCAGAATACTCCTCACTTCAAATTTATTCATTGTTCTTGCCACTTTTGGAAGTAGTCCTGGCAGCGCTCCTTTGTGAGTGTCTTTACAAGGTGTGATTCCAAAATACGGTGGAAGCTGCTGCGCGTGTCGTCCCACAGGAAGGCAGGGTGGTGTGTTGGCATCCGCCTTATTCACTGGCTTGGCACCCTGCAATTTCTGGCTTTTCCCCCAGAAGAAAGGTAAAAGTTTCAAATCAATTCAGGACATCAGGGTAGCTACAATAGCACAACTAAAGGTACATTTATGTTTTCATATTTAAAATGGTATATTGCATTGTTTGAGCAAGCATTTCGGTAAGTGTTTGAACATTTCTCCCAATGCTCTTTTGTGAATCTGCTTTTTTATGAATTGTCTATTCATATCCAAGGTTAATTTTTATGGCAGATATATTTCCTGAGGGACCTGGCAGAGGCGGAGGGGCTTCCAAGGATGTACATAGATACAGAGAACCAAAAACCAGCAGTGGATGCAGTTATGACAGCTAGTTGGTGACCAGTGTCTTCACAACTGTAGGCTCCCTGTCGTGCCTATGCGGGTGTTTTGTTTTGTATTTTCTAGTGCTGGCGTTGAGTCCAGAGCTTTGTGCATGCTAGCGAACTGCTCTAGCACTAAGTGACCACCGGAGCCCTCTCCATTGTATTTATAATGTTTGTATTCAACACTCACAAATCTGCATTCAAAGACACCTCTCGGAAGTTGGGTAATGGAGGTGTCATTCTGTGCTATCCGTGCAGCAATGGTTGTAGTACAGATGTCCCTGGGTTTCTCCCTATTCCTGGTTTCTGCCCTGCTGGCTCTTGGTTCTGGTCATATAATGTGCAGGTGAAGATTCCTCCCCCTTCCACCTTGTCATAAATGCTTCTGGTGTCTTCTCTCCTAGTGCCCCCATCCCTGCCTCTTCAGGAAGTCCATGCGAGCAGAGAGACCATTGGGAAGATTGCAGCTGCCAGTAAAAGTGAGCTGCTTCTATTACCCCCCGACATACCCATTCAGGCACGAGAGAGAGAGACTCAATAGAGACGGTGCTTTCTGAGAGTTTCTACCTCACTTCTAACTTCCTTGCATGCTATCTCAAGATTCATTTTTCTCAAACAGGGGTCTTGCCAAAAGACTCTTCCCCACCCCAGTACTGAAGGTTTAGCCCAGGTCCTTCACACTGAGCTACATCCCCAGGCCTTTTAAAATTTTTAAAAATTTTGAGCCCTACTAAGTTGCCAAGGCTGGGTCTGAACTTGCTATCTTCCTGCCTCCACCTCCCAGGGTGCTGGAATTACAGGCGTGCGCCACCATACCCCATTCTCTGTAAAGCTTTTCTCCTGAATTTCTCGGCCTGCACCTCAAGCTCTCTGCCACCTGACCGTTGTCTGCCCACTCGCCTCATCTCCCGCAGCAGTCCCTCTTCATCCTTCCTCCTCAGTGTCTTCCCGCATGCTCAAGCCACACCACACCAGCACCTTCCAGAGGCTCTTCCTGTCCCCTGCTTCTCTCTCCGGAGAAACCTTCATGGTACCAGCGCTGCCCCCTGGGGGCTTCTGTGCAGAGCTTCTCTGACTCCTGCACCCTGCTAGCCTCCCCGAGAGATGGTGAGAGGAGGGGAGTCAGAACAGGCTGGCTCAGATTCCCAGCTCCACTGCTTCCCGGAACCTCAGCCCCAGGGAGGTTACTGACCGGCCTGCTCTGTGTTCTGCTTTCCTGGCTCTGTTGCAGAGGTTGAATCTGTGGACACTTGGCTGTGTTGCTTCTGGGTCCCTGGGAATGCAGTAGGGAGTGTATGGTGGGCCAAAGTGACTTACTTCATGGCAGATAGGAGGCAGAGAGAAGGAAGGGCCAGAGAAGAGGGACCGGAAGAAGGTACAGTCCCCAGGTCACACCCCAAAGATCCATTCCCTTCAGCTGACTTGTCACCACCCAATGATCAGTGGGATATATATATATATATATATATATATATATATATTTTATATATATATATATATATATATATAATAATTTTTTTTTGTATTTTAGGGAAGAGTCTACAGGGTGTTCAGGGTCTCACAACTAGATTGAACTTGTAGTGAATCACCTGTTTACAGCCTCTTAAGAGCTAGGATTACATATGTGCGCCACCATATCTAGTCTCATTTGCCATCTCAGCATGCCCCAGGGGCAGAACCAGCACAGCAGGTCCAGGGATCAAACCCCTGGCCCCTGCATCTGCCTGCAGGCACTTTAATCCACTGAGCTATTTGGCTGGCCCTGTCATCAGTTTGTGATCTCTTCTGTGGATTAATCCACTGACGGAGTGAAAGCCTTCCTGTCCAGTCACTCCTCTGGGCCCTACCCTGCATATTACTGCATTGGGGATCATCTCCTCTTTGAGGAACACATCATAATGAAATCATAACAGGATTGGCAATAGCTAAGAAGTGCTTAGTGCACAGTTCTTTTAGAGATAATGGAAAGTCTCTTGACTGTGGTGATGATGGAGTGCCTATGTGAATGTACTGAACACACTGAACCTGCCAAGTGTGAGGTGCATACCTACAATCTCAGCACTCGGAGACTGAGACAGGAAGATTGCAAATTTCAGCCCAGTCTGGGCAACTTACACACTTAGCAAGATCCTGCCTCAGAATAAAACATAAAAAAGAGTTGGAGCTATAGTTGAATACAAAGGTCTTGGGTTTCATCCTTAGTACCTCAAAACCAAACAAAAGCATTGAATTATACACTTCAAAAGGTGAGTTAAATTAGCACAGTCAGCGTGGCTCCGGTGGCCAGGGCTGGAGAAAATGAGCATCTGGTGCAGGCGCTGCTCATGCTGCTTGAATGTTTGGGTAACAGGGCCTTGAGTATGAGTAGGCCTGTGTCCTGGACCAGAAGGGCTGGCCCAGGAGACATTCCTCAGAGAGCTCAATTAGTGTGGCCGAACTTGCGCTGAAAATGGGCCCTGGCGTGAGTCTTCGTACCACGGAGGAATCCAGTCCACCGCACCTGTCTCATCTCCCTAGTGATGTGGTGCTCAGCCGCCATGGACGTCCTCTTTCTGTTCGATGGCTCTCACAGTATTGGGAAAGGGAGCTTTGAAAGGTCCAAGCACTTCGCCATCACCGTCTGTGATGCTCTGGACATCAGCCCTAAGAAGGTGAGTACCGGGCCTCTCTGTCATTGTCTTTGGGTGTCTTAGTTTGAAAGTGACAGAAGTCCAGTTGGAAACAGCAGAGAAAACTACTGGGTATGGACCTGGGAGGACCAAAGGAGCAGATCCTAACATGGTGACGTGCACGGGCCCAGTGGATCCCCTCTTTCTTTGCATTCAGTTGTGCTTTGGTTGCTTGACTTTCTTCCCAGGCAGATTTTCCTCACATGGCAACGATACTCTGCATTGTCCTTCAAGTTAGTGATACAAAGAAAAAAAAAAAAAAAAGTGGACTTTTCTTGTGGATTTCAAAAATTCCCAGAACTCCAGCTGGGCAGGCTTAGGTCACATGATGACCCTTGGCCAATCACAGCAGGGAAAGACTCTTTGGTCAGTCCTGAGCCAACTGAGCCCACTGCTTACCCATGTTTTGGGGTACAGAGGGCTCCCTACCCAAAATGGGGCTGTGCTTGCAGAGCAGTGGGAAAGGCGGCACATTGAGTCCTGCCCTTTTTGTTCCCCTGAAAAGATCGCCTCCTTCCTGACTGAATCAGTTTTCCAAGATGATAGCATCTTCATTTGTTGTTCTTCTCAACTTCAAAGAGTGGGCCTTAAATAGCAGCAGGGTTGGGTAAGTGTAGCTTTTGTTTTTAAGGGAACAATTTTGGACAACCCAGTAGAAGGGGCAGTGAACACTGACAGTTGCCACAAGGTCTGTGTGGTGTGCCCCACCTCACTCAGCGCCGTAGCAGATCTCCCACTGACACGCGACTGACAGGCCCCATTTCATTTACCATTTGGAAAAATCTAGTTTGCTGCTGTATGCCACTGGCAGACTTGTGAGAGCTGATGTTCCCTTGCAGCACGGTGGAAATGTAAACTGGTACTACCGCTGTGGGACAGTACAAGAGTGTCCGTCACAGTGACAAACGCTTGGACCCTCTGACCAGCCATTCTACTCCTAGGAATTAATTCTACAGATATCCCCACTCATGCAAAATAACAGCTAACTAGTTCCACAGCATCTTGCGGTGTTAGCTATAATTACAAATTGTAATTGTAAAAGGTTTCAGGAACCCCAATGTCCATTGACCAGGAGCAGGTAAATCCGTTATGGTGCATTTGTGTAGTGAATCATGGGCCAGCTGCACCAAGTGGGCAGAAATTATCAGAGCAAATGAAATGTAAAAAGTAAGGTCAAGGGGCAGGTAGGTTATGTTGCCTTTATGTATAAATGAAGGGGAATGAATGACATCTCTATATGTGTTTGCATTAAGGAAAGGCAGGCTAATGGTGATGAGTCCTGTTGCAGAGGAGGGAAGGAACAAAGCAAGTAGAGCACAAGTCGAGGGACAGACCAGTCCAGGAACAGACCCAGCAGTACAGATTGTTATCCAGATTTTGAACCATCTGAGCCCACCCCAAACCAAAGTCACAGTGAAGAAGGGTGTGCTGGTCTGAAAGCCCCATCATTATTTGGATTAGGGACTAGTTATGGATAGGTTGAAGAAGGAAGCCGTTTTCCAAGATGACATTCCTGAGTCAATCCTAGTAAAACCTACAGGATTTAGGAGCAAGCATAGCTCCTAACGAGGCCCAGGTTTCCTCCAGAAAGAAAGGATGAGCATCCTTCCCAGGTGGTCTCGCAGCCCTCCGCAGACACCACAGCAGACTTCATTCTGTCCAAGCACAAGCAGCCCAGAAGTTCCGGCTGTGATGTAAACCCAGCATGGACCTTAGAAGGGCCAGGGCACAGGCTGCTGAATCTCTGTCCTCCTCATACCAGGCTTTTCTTTTGAAATGATTCCCTATGAAGTGTACTAGTGATTTCCTGGAAGAAGTGGCAAAAGATCAAATACTAGTTACCTTGGCGTTGATGTGATGTGTCCTGAGGTGAGTGGCATCATCGTCAGAGGATGGCAAGCAGAAGGACAAGAGCTGTGGGAGTTGCATGTGTTCCAGGTGAGGAAATGGCCTCAGAAGGAAAGGCTCAGCAACTGCCTGGGGTCACACAACCTTTTCAGGAGTGCTAAGTGCGGAAGACTTAGGGCTCTTGATTCTTAGCACAGGACTTGCTCCATGCGGCCATGTGTCCTTCCCAGTGGCGCATCTCTGAGCTAGGGTGAGGTAGATGCTGGCATTGGGAACTCACACCCTGCTGTCACCCAGCAAGCAGCGTGGCAGTGCGGAGGAAGATGGATGGGCAGTAGGGAAAACGTGTGGCGGGTCTTCATGGCTGGTGCTGTTAGGAGCAGGCTATCGGGGTTCAGGAACTTCCACCTCGGTGTAGTTGGCCCACGTCTAGAATGTGGCATCAAGTTCTAGGGCTGACTTTTAGGTTTGATGTTGCGAAACACAGTTTCTCAGAGTTAGGAGAAGAACACGAACCTCCGTGTAGGAAGACTCCTGATGGCCGTGTTCATGCAGGAGCGTGAATCTGGGTGTTCGGGGAGTTTGATTTGGGCCTAACTTCAGAGAGATTTGCTTGTAGCAGATTTTCTTGTAGCTCCTGGAGAGCACAGAAGTTGGTTGACTGGGTGTGTTTCTGTGTGTGTGTGTGTGTGTGTGTGTGTGTGTGTGTGTGTGAACCCCTAGGGTACATCAGCTAACCGCAGGCATGCTTAGGAGGGTTTGTGTGTTGGGGGAATTTGAAATAGCTCGGTCTCATCTGTGGCTTCATTTATTTATTCCTCCTGGTGTTGGGGATAGAACCCAGGATCTCCTACAGGATCGGCTTCCCTCGCCTGAGGCTTTGTGTTTTTTATGGCTGCACTTTTGTGTCTCATTTTTGGTGTCTCCAGATACAAAGGATTTGATCGTTATCTTGCTTTGCTTTCTATAACTTCAGTCTTCAGGAAGAAAAATTTCAGTAGCTCTAATGAAGGTCTTTTATGGATGCTTTGTTGTTGAGGTGGATTGAAGGTGTTTGAAGTCTTCCCCTTAACACTTAAAAGCTGAGAAGCACACTTCCTGGCTCTAATAAAGGAGTGCAGTGGAGAGATTGCAGTGTGGTGAGAAATCTGGGCAGGCCTGCCTCTAAGCGTACAGTAAACCCAGAGATAAAAGGCAGCTCTTTCGCTCCCAAACCACCAATTAAATGAAATGCCTTAACTACTGACTGAGGCTGTTTCCTGCATGTTTTGTTTTGAAGTTGTGTCCTTCCTGTTTAACCAGAGTAAATAGCCTCAGCTGATGTCTCAAGGGACTTGTTGGTTTTTTAAAAAGTAATTCACATGGTTCAATAAAAAGGCAGATAATGCAAACTTTCACCCGCACATTCTCCGCTTGCGGGTCCCCTGCCTATTTCCTTAAGCAGCTCTCCAGAACTGCTTTCTGCAAGCAATATGAATATACATCATTTTCCCTTTTAATGAAAAGGATAGCATAGTCCACACAGTGCTCTAAGTCTTTATCATCATCTTACCTCGGAAGTCTCTCCACATAAAGTGTTTTCTTTCCTACACCTAATGTCCTATCATGAGCATTTACTGGGGTGTAATAGCAGACCCTCTACCGATATAGGGGGGCCTGCCCATTAGCTCAATTGTTTAAGTGCCTGCATAAGCGAAGCAGTCAGGCTCAGGATGCTGCAGTTCAATCCTCAGCTCCTCAGGCCTTACCAGACCTGCCCTTAAGGCATCCTGAGCCAAAAAAAAAAAAAAAAAAAAATCACCTCTACCAATGTATATTTGCTATTGTAAACTGGGTAGTGTGATTTTTAAATATATTGTTTTGCATATATGGAAGTCTATCTGTAGGATAAATTCCCAAATATCCTACACATTTTAAGTTTTTCATGTTGCCATATTGCCTTCCGTGGATGCTAGACCAATTCATATTCCTGCCAGCTGTGTGAGAATGCTTATTTCCTTGTACATGGCTTCTAGGTTTTTTTTTGCTAGCCATTGCTGTGGAAGAATGGTATTTTTTTATGGAGAGGTCAAACCCTTTCCATTAAAGAACATTTGTGCTTCCTAGTCTATGGTCTCTGTTCCTATCTTTTGCCTGTTTTCTGTTGAAGTACTGGTCTTTCTGTATCCGTTCCTAGACACTAGTTTGCATATTGAGGAAACTAACCTTTTGTTCCCAATATTAGTTACAAATAGTTTTTGTACTAATAATCTGACTCTGTTTTAGAGACCTGACCTTTCTCTAGTTTAACCTGAGCAAACCCGGATGGATGATGCCCAATAAAGGACACAAAGGACAGGGAGCTCTTAGCAGCTGTAGCTTGTGATGGGCCACCAGCGATGACAGCTGGGTTTGCTTCTGAGGTGCCCAGCTGCTGGCCAAGGAGCATTTTGCTGCAGGGCTGTGTTGACTTCTGAGAAGACAAGCAGTGGGGAAGGTCACAGGGCCCAGGGTTAATGTCCCGACCCCTTTCTTGATGTGAACCTTTGCCTTAGGCCAGTTCTGTGTCCACTGCACATTGCAGTGTCTCTGGTAATGTGGGTGTTAGTTGTGCCTCTGTCATCTCCAGATGGGATGACATAAGCACTGGTACCCAGGGTGCCTGGGAGTCACTTGGCCAATGTGCCCTAAAGCTGCCCACAGCTCAGCTGAGCAAGTGCACAGAATGTACTGCTTCGGAGGATGTGGGTGGGGAAGATTAACTGGGAAAGGAAATTTGCCCATTTCCTTCCAGATTCTCCAGCTGATCTTGGGACCCTTCTTGAAGGTGACTGGGCGGGCCGGTGTGGGCTGGATAGCCAGAAGGCGGGGTTGTTAGCCTTTCCCACCCCTTTTCCTCTTGGGAATGCTTAGAATGTGACTGCAGTCTTGGCCATCTCCTTTTGCAGGTCCGAGTGGGGGCGGTCCAGTTTGGTTCTACTCCTCATCCGGAATTCTCTTTGGATTCATTCTCAACCGGACGGGAAGTGAAAGCACAAATAAAGAGGATGCTTTTCAAGTATGTATGATCAGATACTGCCGCGGTAGAGGGAAGCCAGCGCTCTTAAAATTGCCCCTTTCAAGGAAGGGCAAGCCATGGACTCAGCCTCACTGAGAGAACCGTGGGCTGCTTCCATGACTCCACCGTGCACAGTGGGCTATGAGAATTCCCCTCTCCACGCTGCCCTCCATGTACGGAAGGCCCCAGGTGGGGATTTAAATGCTAAGTTAATAAAAGGGGAATAAGGTAGGAGGAAGGGGGAAAGGAAGGCAGGATGGGATAGGAGAAAAAAAGAGAATAGAAGGGAAGAAATGGAAACAAAGCTTTTGTAAATAAGGAGATGATGGTGCTGGGGAGACAGCTCAGTAGTCTAAGCACCTGCCTGGCAAGTGCAAGGACCTGGGTTTGATCCCCTGTACCACATGCTGTAAGGAGAAGAGGGGTTGAGGGAGGAAAAGTGGGAAAAGAATCAAGCTATATCATGGACAGGTACAAATTCCCTGTGATGAATATTATATATCTATTCACTATTAATAGATAATTAATAGCTATTAACTTTTATGAGCTATTATGTCTATCTAAAATATGTTAATGTAAGGGAAAAAAAGGCCAAATAAAAGAGAAAGGATTTGCTGCTGTTAGTCAAGTCATTGGAGAGGGAGGGCTTTTAAAGGCCCACACTAGGTTAGTGAGGTCCCGTCATCTCAAACTACCTGTGATACACGCGTAACTGTCTCAGCAGGCAGCATAGGACAGCTTGCATGCATGGCCCCATCGTGAATGTGAGAGCGAGGCGCAGGAGAAGAGGCTGGGCCACAGCCCGGCGTCTGCAGTGACCTCCGTGGCGTGGTGGCTCCACTGCACCTCTGCGAGCCTCCTCTCTGTTATTGGTAAATATTGAGTGTGAGCAAACACTGTTACGATGGGTGCTTTAGAGCTTAGGAAAGCTGTTTACGTGCTCAGCCATACGCAAACCCTATAAGTATGCGTATGTAGTGGCGTCTGGGCTTGACTCCTGTAACAGATCAGCTGGCAAATTATATGTCAGAGCTGTTAAACCAAAGTGTGTTGTGTCTGTGTGTACTCATTCATGTATGTAGGCACACACGTCTATAGGTACATGAATGCGGTACACACACGTGTATACATGCACATGCACACATAATGTTTTTCACAAGCCCTTACAGAAAAAGGGACTTTGATTTGTTACCTGCCTCCCTGATCTTTGGGTTACTGGGGTCTGGGCACTGGAGTCTCCTTTTACAGGTGATTCCAGGTCCTGTCTGTCTCAGACAAATTGAACAAAACGAGCGTAAACGGTGGTTTAGTAACTGTGAAACACTAAAGGTAGGAATAAAACGGGGAGGGGCAGCATGGGTTCTGCAGAGCAAGTGTGAACCAAGTAGAAAGAGAGAAAAGGTAAAACCACCCCCTATGGGTGGGCGTGCTGCTGTGCAGAGGCCAGGCAGTCCCGCGCGTGCTGCCTCGTGTCTGGGTCCCCTGATCAGAAGTCTGCTCCAGCTCTTCAAGAAACTCACGTGCAGGGCTTTGGAGCGGTTCTGCACACATGTTCCGAGGCCGCCTCGTGCCTCCTTTCCAGCTGGTTCTAGTAATGCCCTACCTTCCTGCCTCATTTGGGGCTGCTCTGGTTGCGGTTCTCCTGTGCCAGTGTCCAGGCAAGTCCTTCTGAAATCTGTGTCCCAGCTATTTGTGGTTGTCACCTCCAGTTGTCAAGGCCTTGATGCCTGGGGTCCTTTTTTCACTTGTTCTCAAATCCTGGGTCCTACATGGACGCATTTGGTTTCTGGGAACCCCTTAGCCTTGGGGGAGCACTAGGGACCCTCAGTAACTTTTCTTACACTATCTACCCCAGCCTTTCCTTGTGACTATCGGTGCCCAGGACAGGAGGAGGGACAAGCTACAGGAAAGAAAGCACTTCAGTATAGTTTTAAAAATCATTACTGGGGCCAGGGAGATGGCTCAGTAGAATAAACGCTTGCTTGGCAAGCTCAAGGGCCTGAGTTCAACCCCCGGTTCCACCAAAAAAAAAAAAAAAAAAGAATCATATCATTACACATTGGCCTTATTTTTTTCCGTAGGGGTCTTCTGGCCTGGGGGCCTCTAGGAATTGGTTTTCTGTAGAGAATAATCTCAGTCTTACCATGTGGTTCAGACTCATAGCACAGCACTTACCAACACGAAGTCCTGGAGCCACCTAGGTCAGCGTGGTCTAGGGAAAGGTTCTCAAGTGCAGATGCTGGGATCCTACCCAGATGTACTCAGTCATGTTCATTCTGGGTAAGGGCCGGCCAGATGGCTCAGTGGATTAAAGCATCTGCAAGCAGGCACAGGGACGGAGGTTCTGGGCCTGCTGTGCCGCCCCGCCTCCAGGGCATGCCGAGACAGCAATTGAGACTGGGCATGGTGGCGTGTGCCAGAAATCCCAGTACTTGGGAGGCAGATCCTGCCGAGTCTGATCTAGTAGTGAGAATACAAAAAAAAAAATTTAGTCTGAGCAGGGATACTTAGGGTTCTAGAGTTTTATGGTCTTTCTCTACCTCTTTTCCTATACCTATAAGACATACTTTTGGTTTAAATGCTCTTTATTTTTTAGTGTATTTTTAGTACAGGGCCTACAGGGTCTCACTACACAGATTGGACTTATAGTGATTCTTCTTGGTTTTCAGCCTCCCAAGTGCTGGGATTATAGGGGTGTGTCACCACACCCAGTCTCATTTGCCATCTCAACACACCCTGGGGGCGGGGCTGGCACAGGAGGCCAGGTATCGAACCCCCCGGCTGCTGTAGGGAAAGACCAGAACGCGCGTGCACTGGTGATGAATTTTGAAGTCCTTCCTGCCACTTTGAAAACATGTTAGTAATTCCTTCAGATAGTAAATATGGAGTGTCATTCTGACTCAGTCATTCTACTTCAAGAGAATTGAAGGCATATGCCCACAGAAGAACTTGTACACTAATATCCATAGCAGTGCTATTTGTAACAGTTACTAAATAAAAGCAACACAAATTCCCAACTAATGACTGGATAAAATGTATTCAGTCTGTCCATACAACTGAATATTATTCGGGCATAGAAATGAGTATTGGGGCCGGGGAGATGGCTCAGTGGAATAAGTGCTTCCCCGGCAAGCGCAAGGGCCTGAATTCAATCCCCGGTTCCGCAAAAAAAAAAAAAAAACAAACAAACAAACGAGAAATGAGTATTAATTCATGCAACCTTGCGGAAGAATCCTGAAAATGTATGTGAATTGAAGAAAGCCTGTAACAAAAGGTAATACAGTGGATAGTATGTTTCCACTTTTTCTTCCTTTTTTTGTGGTGCTGGGGATAGAACCCAGATCTTACAATGCTACATGAGTATTATACCACGCAGTCACATTCCCATCCCTGTATTACATTTTTATAAAATATCTAAAGAGGTTTATGGAGATAAAAAGTAGTTGTTCCCAGAGGCTGGGGGAAGAAGCAGTGATAGTTAATGGATGCAGATCTTTTGAGAGTGATAAAAATATTTTGGACTGGGTGACTGCAGAACTTGGAATGTCCTAAAAATTACGGACTTGTGTACACTTTTAGATACTGTATATTATCCATGCCGAATTACAATAACTTTGTCTTTTTTCCTATTGTATTTATACATTGAATTTCTCACATAAGAGAAATGATGTGATATGTAAGCTTGTGTGTCTTACTACGTCATCTAACACTACAGTCTCGAGTACATCCATTATCCTCCTCTGGGGCAGAGTGGCACTCCAGTGTGTATGAATACAGTATTTTCTTTATCCTTCTATCTGTGGATGGACTTACAGGCTGCTCCCAAAATTTGGCCGTTATGAATCATGCTGCTGTGAATGTGGCTATGCATACATCATTGCGGTACGATGGCCGGAACTGTCCTGGGAAGATACCTAGAATAGCTGAGTCAAATGGAATTTCTCTTTTTAGTTTTTTGTGGAATCTCCATATGATTTCCATAGAGGTTGTACCAGTTTACACTTCCCCCAACAATAAAGAAGGGTTCTTCCCCAGCCCCAGCCTCATCAGGATTATTATTGGTTCATTTGGTGATGATAGCCATTGTTTCTGGAGCCAGATAGAATCTCAGTAGTGTTTTAATTTGTATTTAAATGGCCAGCAAGGACCAGTGAGATAGCTCAGCAGTCTAAAGCACCTGCTTAGGCAAGCTTAAGCAAGCACAGGGACCACGGTTCGATTCCTGGCACCACAGGCTGCACCAGCCCAGCCCCTAGGGTGGGCTGAGCTGAGCTGGCCACAGGGGGAAAAAAAAAAAAAGGCCAGCGATATTGAGTATTTTTATTTACTTATTGACCATTTATTTTTCTTCAGCTCAGAAGCATTCACTTCAGATGCCCATTTTTAAAAACTGGGTCTTTACTTTTGGGGGATCTAATTTTTAGGAGTTCTTTATTCCAGATCTTAGTCTTTTATCTGAAAAGTAGCTAGCATTTTTTTCCCTTTTTGTAGGTTGTCTCATCACTCTGTTGGTGTTCTCCTTTGCTATGCAGAAGCTTTTTAATTTAATGTGATCCCACTTGTTGATTCTTGGTATTCTTATGTACTGGGTTCTGTTCATAAAATCTTCCTACACTTACGCATTCAAGACTGTTACCTATTTTGTCTTTTATCAGATTGTTTCTGCTCTAATATTTAGAACTTTGACCCATTTTGATTTTACTTTAGTGCAGGGTGAGTGGTGAGTGAGATAGGTCTCAGCTCAGTCTTCGGCATGTGGGTAGCAGGTTTCCCAGCTCCATTTGTTTAGCAGGCTGTCTTTCCTCCCATGTATGTTTTTGCCCTTTTTGTCAAAGATCAGGTAACTGAATGTGCTTGGAGCTCTTTCTACATCCTGTATTTGGTTCCAGTGACCCACATCTGGTTTTGTGCCAGTGCCATGCTGTTTTTATCCCTGCGGCTCTGTAGTATAACGTGAAGTCCAAGGTCATGGTGAACCCTGCTTGCCCTTGTTGCCTAGA